GAGGCTATGGCGCCTAAGGCGCCCCTAAACACAAAAACATAAGCGATACACGGGTCACCCTACCCCAGGGGCGCCCCACTACAACCCCCAGAGGCGCCCCACTACGACGCCGGCGTTATCCCCACCACAGCCTCGATGTAGAGTGGGGGAACCGCCGGCAGGGTATATAAGCCGGCTCGACGGATGAGCCGGCACCAGTCCTGTTCCGGACCTCCTAGCCAGGCAACGGGCTTCTCGTTGTTACGCCGGGTTTCCCGGTTTCTGGCCTCCTACCTTTAGTATCGGGCAACGGGTTTCTCGTTGTTACGCCGGGTTTCCCGGTTTCCGGTCTCTTCCTGCTACACGCCGGGCAACGGGTTTCTCGTTGTTACGCCGGGTTTCCCGGTTTCCGGTCTCTTCCTGCTACACGCCGGGCAACGGGTTTCTCGTTGTTACGCCGGGTTTCCCGGTTTCCGGTCTCTTCCTGCTACACGCCGGGCAACGGGTTTCTCGTTGTTACGCCGGGTTTCCCGGTTTCCGGTCTCTTCCTGCTACACGCGGGCAACGGGTTTCTCGTTGTTACGCCGGGTTTCCCGGTTTCCGGTCTCTTCCTGCTACACGCCGGGCAACGGGTTTCTCGTTGTTACGCCGGGTTTCCCGGTTTCCGGTCTCTTCCTGCTACACGCCGGGCAACGGGTTTCTCGTTGTTACGCCGGGTTTCCCGGTTTCCGGTCTCTTCCTGCTACACGCCGGGCAACGGGTTTCTCGTTGTTACGCCGGGTTTCCCGGTTTCCGGTCTCTTCCTGCTACACGCCGGGCAACGGGTTTCTCGTTGTTACGCCGGGTTTCCCGGTTTCCGGTCTCTTCCTGCTACACGCCGGGCAACGGGTTTCTCGTTGTTACGCCGGGTTTCCCGGTTTCCGGTCTCTTCCTGCTATACACCGGGTGACGGGTTTCTCGTTGTTACGCCGGGTTTCCGGTTTCCGGTTTCTTCCTGCTATAAGCTATACGCCTCCGTACACCATATCTCTAAGTTATACCGGGTAATTTGTAAATCTTTTCCGGACACCGCTACAGGCTACACGCCTCCGCATTTTGTTTATACCGGGTAGTCAATAAGTTTCTCTATTTAGGCTTTATGCCAACAAACATTTTGTTTATTTGTTTCTTTTTGAATAAACCAAAGCATTGTTAATAAGGAATAAGCGAGTCTGAGTCTCCCCCTTCCTCCCGAATCCTGGAACCGGCGAGCCGATCCGCGGCGTCGGGAAAGGTGAACCGTTACATCATTAACAAAGTTATTTCATTATTCTCTTCACAACAATGTGAGTATAATACACTGAGTATGCATACGTCGATCACGCTTGTTATTCATGATCATAATTTCGAGTCTGAAATTCGAAGGAATTTTCGATAACCTTTGTTCGTCGTACACATAGAATGTTTTTCGCACTTGTTTGTTCGTCGACTATGTTTGATTTGAAGGACACTGCTAATCTGTATGCGCAAAATATCCTCCTACACAAATATTAAATTTCCTTTAATTGTTCTTACATACGATTTAATAATCGTCATACGAAAGAAAACATGAGAGTAATTTCACTGACACGTGAACTTGCTTAAATGTGAGACACTTATGTACGGTCACTGACATGTGAACCGAGAGCTGATTGAGAGTGATCATTAGGAACTATACAGTTCGTATTTAAACAATGAGTTGCGCCCTGTTTGATAGCGCGAGGCCTCGTTTTTATTGCCGGACTATTCGCGGCAATCTAATTGTATGCACAACACTCCGCGTAACTCAGTACTCGCACACAGTAATAGTCTTAGGTTTTGATTTATATCATTTAATCCGACTTGATTAATAATGATTTTCAATTGAAGAGAGCGCTTACTTATGTCGACTTTACTCTTGGAGAGACTTTCAACGACTGACTTCGCTTTTACTGCCGAAAAACCCAAAGGAATTTTGTTTTCGTGGCTTGCTACTTCTCACGTGTATTCTGCGTGATTGGTGAGAACAATAGCCATAAATACGCTTGCCGGGAGGTGCTGCCTCTCTGGCTTCATGCGAGTTATTATTGCTTCGATTATCGATGCTGTCACGAAATCGATTGAATCCGTAACAGTATTAATTAAAGGATTAATATGTTTGTCCTTGAATTTATTTGGAGATATGACGATGTCTTTGTTATTTATATTATTATTTATATTATTTATTTATTTAATTAGTTTTTATGTAATAATAAGTATATAACTAATTGAATCAAAATTAATTCACATTGATTTAATTTACATTGAGCACTTAACACGCGTATCAAATAGTACATTTGAGCTGATCAGCTAATAAAAATGAGTCAATTTACTAATATTTGCTATTTAATACGCGTATGAAGTGCTCGATGTAAACAAGGCCATTGTAATTTGAAGATTCAATGAATTGATAATTTTTAGACATGAAATCCGATAGCTCTAATGTGTATATTTTCAAGGTTATAGATGTGATGTAATAGTAATATTGGCTCAAAATTCAACCGTCTAATGGATACTGACTTTTCGTTTAAAGAAATTTATAGGATTTCACAATATATGAAACCCTTATTGTGTTAGAACAAATTTTTTAAGCAAAAAGTTAATTATTCGATTGACATTATGTATTTTGTTATAATTTATTCGAGTATTATTTTGCTTTGATTTATTAATATTTATAATTTGTTTTTAAGTAAATTTAAGTTGTGTTTTACTTGTAATACGCAAAATCAGCTGGGTATCGATTCTGTAACTTTTTCTAAAGTGAAAACGTGAAAAATGAAAAATTTTCGCCAATTGCACATCAATTTCATTTTAAAATCAATGCGTGATTGGCGAGAATTTTTTAGTCTTTACATTTTTACTTTAAAAAAAGTTACAGAATCGATACCCTTTTTTTTTTTTTTTTTACGTAGTGGAAATCCTCATGGATACCCCCGCCTCCGGGTAGAGGACGGGTGGTTATGTGGGACTTCTTGCTTCCCTTGAGGAAATGAAATCAGTTGAAACGATAGGACGATTTTTATAGTCTTTTCGTAGTTATTTTCAAGTTAGATATTTCGTCATCATGCGTTAACAAGAACGGATGCAATACTGAGCTTCTTCTTTATAAACCTCATTTTTGAATGCTATAAAAAGTTTATAGAAATATCAAAATGTTAATGTTTTTTTTTTTTTTTTTTTTTATAGTTAGAGTTAATAGGTGACAAGTGTTAAATGTATAAAATATTTATTTTTGTTTTTTGTATATACATAAATACATTAACGCACAAAAAAGCGAGATTAGTGATGTACTGCTGTAATGTTGAAATTGACGTCTGTAATTCGAAGTTGTTAAATAGATTTCTATGTGTTGTTGTGTGCCTCGGGTAAGGCACAAGGGGTCGCGCCAAATTAGAATGAGGATCCGGGGCGTCAGGGCTTGGATCGGGATGGTTGCACCAATGCACTTCACGTTTCACTATTAAAAAATCCTTTATTTGAATTAAACACTTGGTGTAATTTTTATTTCCACAATGTTACACTTTGTAGTTACTTAACTAATCGAGCTAAATCGATTACGTATGATTTCGTGACTCGCGCGCGCGACTGCGATAAGGTGTTATAGACCGCACGCGGTTTGCGAGGTAATTCTTAATTAACGACTCGAGAGCGACTATTCGGCGCGTCTCCTGCTCCGTTTTTATAGTCTCGCTTTTTGAGAGTTCCTTGATCGAAAGGGGTGCCTGGCAACGGGCCCCCTCGGTCAAGGACCTAGGTGCAAGCGAAGTAAATTCAAAGTCCTGCTTTGCTTGCACGTTGGGCAATTTCGGTTTCGCGTGTATCTCGCAGCGTCTGCGTTTTTACGCGGTCAGTGCCCGTCGTCGAGCGGATGTAATATGAGTAGTTATACCTTAATAGTTATATCTTTTAGGGATATAACATCCCTCCCCCGTTAAAGAAGAAAAACGAAGGTACGTAGTTTTTCGCTTAAAACTAAAGTTTATAAATGTTTTATACCCGTTTACAATATAATTATAATTGTTTCTTATTTTATAAAAATGTGTGCTATTGCTTTTTTTTAGTATGGATCTAGGTAAACTCTAGTCATCGTCAAGTATCGTTACTCTTGGTCTTCTTTTTGTCTTTTTTGTTTTTTATTTTCCAAACTACAATGGCAATAATAGATATTATGATTAGAGTTATTATTAATCCGCTCGAGGTCATGGGGTAAATAAACTGTCGTTTTGTGTAAAACTTCTATTCATTGTTTCGTAAATCGTTGTCTATGTCGTTTATCTTTGCTCTTAACTCTATTAGTTCTATGTTGTGTTGTATCAAGTTATCTAATGTGTCGAGTATTCTTATGTCTTTGTCTTGTGATGGTGCAATGTTGAAATTTGGTAAATATGTGTCTATGCTTGCTACGTAGATTGTCTTTTTTGTTTCTAATATCATGTCCTCTGTTTTAATTTGGCAGTTTCCTCGTAAGGTCAGTCTGCCTGTATTTTTTATTACCAAATTGCTTTCTGTATGTTCATCGCATTTTATATTTATTTTTTCTTTTTTGGCTGTTGAGTACAGCCATGTATGTGGTTGATGTAACGGGATTCATAACGTCGTTCTCGTTATCCGATAGTGTACCTTACATTCATGCTTATTTTGCACTTGTTGCGTATACAGTTGCAATTCGCACGGTATATTAGTATTTATGCGATAAGTCGGCATGCTGTGCTCGCATATATAATAGGAGTCTATTTTGCTACATTTTTGCAAATTTTTGTGTGTTATAATTAAATATGTTAGTTTAAAGTTATCTATGGCAAACATATTGTTTTCTATTTGTATACTTTTAAACGTTTTATTATATGCTGGCGCAGGGAATTCAATTGCATTTATAATGTTATATTTAGGTTGTGAAATTATTGGGAAACGCAGTATCGTATATAGGTTATAGTCCTTACTTACGTATGCGCTTACGCTTGCGTGTTTCTTTATTTCGTGCCAACTTGCTGTATGTGTCCTAAACGGGAAGTAATATCCCTGTTCTAACTGCGCTGCGGCTTCCGTTAAATGCGCGACAATGTTGTCGAACGGCACTAATTTTGGATACATGTTTCCTTCCTTAATTTGCGCCAAGTATTCTATAATATTTTCAGCGTCCCTAATGGAGTCTGTTAAAGCTGCCATAATTACTTTGTATTGTTCCTGTATTTTTTCTAGTGTAATATATTCTGCTAAATTTTCTTGTAAGAGTTTCTCACTTCGCTCGATTATATTTTCTAATTTGTTTAAGTGTGTTAACATGTTGATTACTGTCAGTTGGTTTCGAACTGTGTGTTGTATTGTGCTTTGTCGGTTATTTATTAACTCTAGTTGTTTATTTATATTTTTTTCGTCTTCCGCGTCCATGGTACTAAACAATGTTTTTGCTATTGTACCTATTCCGTTGATTATTCCCCTGCGTTTGTCTGTACGTCTGTCGTAGATTGTAGTTATTTGCACTGTTATTTTTTCTAAATAGTTTAATTTTTGTTTTGTAATGTTAACTAAGTTAAGGCATATGTTTTCCGTTGCATTAGTACATTGCACTTTTTTTCTGTTTGTTCTATGTAATTTCGTATATGTTCCTGCTTCGTACTTAGTGTTGCTAAATCTAATTTTATCACTAACTTCCATGTGCTTTTAGAGTAATGTAAATGACCTATTCTTTTGAAGTGTATACCTGGTTCGTTGGTGAATTCTTCAAGTTCGTACGGTTCTTGATAAAAAATTGCACACAAAGGTATATACGCATGATTACAAATAAAGTAGTAAGAGGAAATATATATATATCATTACAGGATGCTCGTATTCAATGCCAACGCAGCGGTATTTGGCTTGACTGTCTTAATACCGCTGCGTTGGCACTGAATACGAGCATCCTGTAATGATATATATATATATTTCCTCTTACTACTTTATTTGTAATCATGCGTATATACCTTTGTGTGCAATTTTTTATCAAGAGAGCGGAGCGTTTGTTCTATATGTCGTCTGTCGTCACCTTTTAGTCTTATGACAACTTTTCTCGCGGTTATGTCCCGTTACAATTCTTGTTCCTATTGCGGACAGCGCTTTGTGCACTGGTTTAAATTCAGGTGCTCGGTGTGCTCCGATGAAGCGTGATGTCAATGGGGCGCCTATCGGGCGCCGCTTGTGGGACCGGAGTTGCCCCGTGATCGGCTGGCGCGGGTCTATGAGGCCGTAGGCCGTATAATTAACTTAGTGAGGTCCTATCGGGTTTCCCTTGACGTGTTGTGCACCGGGGTGCGAGTTGTGCAGGAAGTGCGTGTGATGCCTATAGAGCGGGCGCCGGAGATTCCGCTTCGGCTAATAAGAGCGGCCTTGGACGTGAGGAGATCCTTCTCCTATTGTTTTTTGCGGGATAACTTAGAAGGGGACTCGTCTGATGATAATTAGACGATAATAGGTAAGTTCCTAGTTTTCAATAAATAATTTTAATCTATTTGTGTGCATGCGTATTGCTCTTTTACCCTTCTTCACTGTATAATCCACACTTGAATTTTTTTTTATTATCGTGTACGGTCCTGCCCATAATGCGTCTAATTTCTTGGATCGTTCGCGTTGGAGCATTTTGTCATACACAAGCACCTTATCTCCCACTCTAAATTTTGCTTCCTTCACGGTCTTGTCATATTGGTTTTTAGCCTTTAATTTTTCTTCTTTTATACGGTCTCCCGCAATTTGACTAGTCGCTCGTCATCTTTCTTTCAATTTTTGCGCGTAGTTGTCATAGGTATACGTTGGTTTATGTAAGGCGGTTTATTTAAGGTTGTCGGTAACTTTGCTTGGTATCCGTAAGTATGCTCAAAGGGTGTATACCTTGTGGCTGTGTGGAGGGTCGTGTTGTATGCGAACATAGCGTAGGAGATCCACTTGTCCCAGTCTGTCTGGTCATTATTTATGTAATGTCTTACAAGGGACCGTTACAAACTGAACAATAGCTACAGCGTAGACAAAATTATCCAAACATCTTGACTCTTTTTGGATCATTTTCCACCCAAAAACTAGACCGGAAATGAAAAAAATACAAATAATAAGATAATAAAATAATTTTTTTTTAATTTTTTGATGCCTGTCGTGCTTCCTCGTTTTTTATTTTATTTTTTTACTTGTTATCTATCCGATTCGACTCCAATCTGATTAACTCAAACCAAAATCCGCTTAATACTAATGAGCCATAACATACTAATGATTAGGTCAAGTCGGAGCCTCTGTGAAGTTGGCACCCCATTTTTAAAAAACTAATTTTTTCTTTGAATTCTGAATGCACCCCGAACAGTTCTAAAGTTCCTTATTAATTTTAAAAATAGTTCCGGCGAATTAAGCTAAAAAAACCAATTTTGAATTTTGGGGGTGCTAATTTCACAAAATGAAATATTTAAATCAGCGATAACAATGAAAGTATTACGAATATTTAATTTTGTCATTAGGAGTGTGTGTGTGTGGTTTGTGTGTGTGTGTGTGTGTGTGTGTGTGTGTGTGCGTGCTGTGGTTTGTGTGACACAACAGAGGTCAGGACCCTACGGTTCGTCACTCCCGTAGTATTTCACGACTCCAAACCCTCTCTGTTGTGTGTGTGTGTGTGTGTGTGTGCGTGCGATGGCGCATGTCAATTACATAAAATTTTTTTTTATAATTTTATAAGTTATATATGTTATATATATAAATATTTATGCTTAATTGTTATTTATTATGGAATATATTATTATATGCGGTACTACTTCTTCATTATCTATTGATGCTATTTTTGGTTTAGACATCATATCGTCATACATGTACCAGCCAGTCGTATCACATATGTATGCTGTGTAATGTCCGTTATTTTTATTACTAGCATATTGATGATAGGATACTGCACCAGCTAAAATGTAACACTGTTTATTAATATTTAAATTTTTAGGTACGGAGTCGAGTGTATTTGTTTTTTCTATTCCTATTAAAACAGCATATCGCTTGTCTGTGAAGACACTGCAATCAATGAGCAAGTGTGATTGAAAATTATATTTTTCCAGCACGCTTTGATGACATTCTCTGCATATCGAATTTTTGTCGTAGTTGGTGTCGATTATAGCGTTTTGTAAATCGGAAAGACCATTTTGTAAAATTATATCAACGTTAATATTGACTATTGGAACTTTTCGCAAATTTTCATGATTGCAATGTTGGCATTTTTTGCTTATACTTAGACTGGGAAAATTTGCGAATAAGTGTTCCGCTAAATGCGCGACATTGCAATTCGTATTTAAATGCATAACATTTGCTCGATATGGTTGCATTTCAAAAATGGATACAGTACTAAGAATTTTAGTACGTTCCGTATAAATATTGCTCGTAATTTTAGCACTATCTATGATTGAAATGCTTTTTGCAAAATTACAAAAATTGTTATTTTCCTTAGTAATGATATTATTATAAGTTTTATTAGTCACTATTGCATTTGTTATTATTTGCGTTAAAGAATCAAATGCACATGTCTCGCGAACAACAATAAAATTACCACTACAACGCGATGCTTTAAGCAAGCTGCCGTTTTTTAATAAAGGTATGGTATGGTTTTAGTAAAGGTATGGTTTTAATGTTGGCATGTCGTTCCAATTTGGGCAATTATCAAGATAAGTATTTTTTCGTTTCTTATTTGATAATTGCGGCGTTTCATTTTGAATTGGATCTTCTAATTCAACATTTGATTTTTTATGGATGGTTAATCCACGCCAATTTTCTACGACATCCCACATATTTTCATTTGTGACTGTTGATTTTTCTATTATGTGTGCCGTATTAATATCCAGAAGCGATAACAAAACCTTACCTTGTAGCCAATCGATATGTCGAATGATAAATTTGTCGACTCGCATTGGCAATTCTCCTGCGAAAGTTCTGCATTTTAGGCTGGAGAACGCTGCTTCGACAGTTGAGGACGTGGCTACTTCTTTATCACAGGAGAAATGATAATTCATAATGGCTGTCCACAATGGTAAATAAGAAATTAATTTTTTTAAATTTTTTGCGATTTCCGGATTGTAATACGCATTAATTACAGAATCTGATGTAGCCTTCGCTGCTTCAGTTTCTGCCGCCTCGAAAATACATTTAGCCCATTCTGTCCATCCTGATTTTTCAGAAACCAAATCTTCATTGTAAATTGCTTCTTCGGTTTCTTCCGCTGCTTCATCGATAGGATCTTCGATTGACGTTCCTTTGATAATTTCATTAATAGTTCTCAAATGCAACTCCGAATTGAGAAGTTTAGAATTTTTATTGCAGCCTATGTCCTCGCTCAAAGCAATTATCATTATGGACGTTAATGCATCTTTTATGTTTTTTACATCTTTCATTTTATAAATATGGCCTATACTCCTTATAAAATTGGCGAACTTTTTTAACTTTACCGCGAAGGCAGTCCCAGCTAGCAATAATTTTGATAAAATGACTAACATCAAGTCTGATATAACACTTTGGTAATTTATTCTCTTCTCGTTCTAAAATTATAATATTATATAAAATTTGTAAATAATCACGTGTATCCGCGCAATTTGAAAATACTTTCGATACAGCCATTAAAAGAGCTTTACTGAAATCAATTACCACCATTCGTGGTGCAGGTGCTCCGTCCTTTAAAATAGATAAAAAGAAATATGCAATCATTGCAGCATCTTGTTTCGTTGACACCATTTGAAACACCGGAGTGCTGTTTGTCTCCGTTACTAGCACACATTGATAAATAAACATGTGAGGGCTTTTCTCATTATTTAAGAGCTTTAATTTTTTTGCAAAACTACCCGTTGCATCGATAGTTAAAAAACTATTCAAGTTTTGACGCGTAGTGGTTTTATACAATAATTGTTGCTCCTCTGTCCAATACATGCAGAAGAAGGGATCAAGTCCTATGTTTCGAATGATACCTGCAAGAGATTCATATTTTGTCAAATTTAAGTTAAGAATTGGATCGCTGTGTTTCAATTCAAGACGACGATCCAATTCTTGTTGCTTGGCTTTCCGAAGCACTGTAGTAGTGTATAACGTTGGTGGAATGGGATCACCATTGTCCATTAAACTTTTTGCTTCGAATGTTCTCCACGTGCTGGCATCTTGCTTACTTTCCACTAAATGCGATGCAATTTTCT